TCAACGCTAGGCGTAGCTCGTGGGCAACCGAGCAACCAACCCCCTTCCCGGTCCTCCCCACCGTCCATTCCCCCAGCAGCGGTCAACTACTTCGGACTTTCAACCCACAGTCGAGCCTTTCCATTTCCTTCGATCGCGTCTGGCTCACCTAAAAGCCCCAGGCGACCTCTAACCTTCCACCCCCCTTTTCTTGCGGCGAGAAGCTCGGACTTCACTGATCCGACCATCCCACACAATAATTCAAGGTTGACCCGTTGTTGGACTGTAGTCTCAGGTTCGTTTCTTGCCAAGATGGTGGCAACGCCAACAATAACGGCTAGAGCCTGAATGGATAGCGATCCGCTCCACCCGATGCAACTTGAGAGTTTGGAAGGTTGACCAATTCACTCGTGGCTGCTTTGAACGACGCGCGGACTCGAACGGCCATTGCCATCAAGTCAATGTCGTCAACCAAGAACTATGGAACTCTGGGAGCGAGAGGCTCACACAACATCGTGTCTTCGTCTCTTTTTGTCCTTATTAAAACCTGCCGAGCCAATGTCAACACCAAGGAGCTTCCACAGTAGTATGAGCCACGTTCTGAAAGATGACAAACACTTCATGGAGCAATCCAAGCGGAATCACAGAGATCTCCGTGGATGACACGCGATGGCATTCAATCCGTCCATTCAGCTTTTTCACCCAGCGAATCCAATTGTCATGGACTGGAGTAGAGTCCATGCCAAGTCACCGCCGTCTTCATTGAATGAAGACTGCGGTGGCAACAACTCCTTCAATTCCCCATATTTACGCCGTTTGAGTGAACACTGCTCTGATGAACTGTCCTTGCGAGGAGAATTGACCAAGATATCGACATGGTGAGTCGAAGGTTGCAAAAGCAGTAGAGAGCATTGTCGGAGGTGTCAAGAGTGAAACGCCATCCTGGAAAGCGTCCACAGTGATTTCTAGCCTTCTAACCTCTGGGCCCTTGAACTCGACTTGTCCATTGTTGGACTGCTTCAACCCGTCGACACGATAGAGCTCCATATTCCGTCGATGATATCGATTAATGGTTATCAATTGTAGCGCCACTACACCACAGTCATAAATTCCAGCCAATCAGAGTTTGCTATTTATATAATTGCACCAATCAAAAGTGATTTTTGGTTATCTTCCACTACACTATTTATCTTAGTGTAGTACCTAAGTATATTTAGCTTAATATAGTAACTAAGAAGTGACAAAGAGTCAGCTCATGGCGTAGATTTTATCCTTGTGTATTACTTTTCCTGAACCTCCTGTAATGTTCGATAACAGATCTTTTGAACCATCGACATGTCCATTATTTATTCGTTCTGTTGTGCTAGGCGTACATGAGCGTTCTTAGAAACAGAACCGAACAAAATAAAATCAATACCAAGTATAAAATTTCAAAGGTTTTTCTGTATTTGGTTTGTGAAGTTGTGCTCGGTTGCGGACTACAGCATGCCATTCTCACTTACAGCCTCGAAGAAGAACGTTCTTTGATGACCATCAAGACTTCCCCCGACGTGATTGATCACTCGACGGCGTCGTCTTCATCGTCGTCGCATTCGAATCAGTCGGAGCGCCGCCAACGACACTCGTTCGGCTCGCAATCCTCCTCCTCCTCCGACTCAGACAACCGACGTCGTCGCCATTCAGCGGGACACAAGCACGACATCCCGAGCTTCCGTCGCACAGTGACACTCGATGCGCCTGATCTTATTGTTGCTGGTGCGGATGCTGTCGAGGCATTGATTGCACGATCAAGCGGCCGAGATGGCACACAGTGGCTCGTGACGAATAACTCTGCCCAAGGTGTGACTCTGTCAAAGGGGACCGTACCCGGCTATGGTCACCATCATGCTCATAAAGCCACTGGTCGCGTCGAATGCTCAGCGGTGCATTTGGCAAAGAAGCTCAAAGATCCTGCCTGCGTCAAGCAATACGATGAGTCATCGTATTGCTATGGTCATCGTCGATGACCATATCCAAGTGTGCAACATTGTCGAAGAAGTTGACTTGCCATCGTATACGACGATCCAGTACAGCCAAGGCTTGCCTGCTTTCCCCACGACTGCTCATGATTACTGTGTCGTTACGTCGGAGCGTCGCCTTGACTCGCATGTGATTGTGATCGCTGCACGCTCGATTGACCACCCGCTCGTAGCGTACGACCCTGCTTTCGTGCGTGCTGAGGTTCATGTATCTGGCTACATCATTCGACCGCTATCTGCCAACGCCTGTGCTGTCACAGTCGTTCGCCATCAGGATGCTCATGGAATGGCACCATCATTTGTGGCCAACAAAGCGGACGACCTTATCAAACTTGTCGAGAAGTTGCGCAAGTTTTATAGCCTCAAAAGCGACGACTCATCTGAAGAGTCTTGGCATCGCGTTGGTGTCGAAGCTAGCGATAGTGCCAGTAGTGGAAACTCCAACGTTGCCGAGGAGTCAGCAGAGCCAGCCATCGACGAAGGCATCGAGTTCACCAGCCCCAATCAGGAACCTGAGCAAGATGCAATGTGCGCCTGCTGTGGACGAGACGTCACCCGTGGCTACAATCACCACACTTGCATGACTTGCCACCAAGTCGTGTGTGGCGACTGCTCAAGCCACCGCATCAAGACCAAGAAATGGAATGTGCTGCGCTTGTGTGACAAATGCTACGCCATCGAGCACAAGGACGACGAGCCGACAACCACAATGGACGAACGGAGCAAGGAGGCAGTTGTCGATCAAGCAGAAGTCGAAACTCCAAATGCAAAGACCGACGCGGGAGGCATATTGGCCTATGGCGCCATCACCTCGGGCGTCATTTGGCTCGATTTGTCGGCTGGGATGACCATGGTGCTCATTGCTGGGTTATCCATTCTCGCTGCGATGCACATGGACGCCAAGGCGGTGAGTTCCAAGGCCTAGTGTTCCTAGCTAGCTGTCCTAGCGGCGCTGGGCTAATTGCGTACTTAAACATGACATGATGAAGAACTGGTTGTTTTGCTTGTTAGAATACAATCGAGTCGTCGAAATGCGGCCGATAGACGACTTGTCTTGGAAAGATGTCATCTAATGAGAGGTACGAGTTGGTGTTGTCGCCACGACACCACGTGCATTGCCAGTGGTGAACAGCATGCGTGTTGTTTGTTTTTCGTCCCATGGGATATTTTTGAAGCCACGCACAGGCATCCTTGACGCTCTGAGGCTTGTCCTTGTGCTTGCAATTGCTCTCGAGGTTGCCCATGTTCCAATACGCGACATCGGGATAGAAATACTCCTCAGGCAACAGCGCAATGTCCGTCAAGTTGCCGTGTCTTGCAGAAACGGTACCTTGGACCATGCGTGGCCCCGTCAGCGAGACTGGATCCCGATCGTCTGTGGTCTCAAACATTGTTTTGATTCTATCAAGGACTTCAATCCAGAACGGATGGCCAGGACGAGAGGCCAAAATCGCATTGCAAAGCACAGGCTCGCTAGCTCCTTCGAGCAACACAGAATGCACGAATGGCTCGTAGCTCAAGAAGAGGTCGTAGTGGAGGAGGTCTTCGAATGACGCAAGACTTTCAAAGTCGAGGTCAGCGTAGACGCCACCGTAGCGGTAAAGCAAGGCATAGCGGGTCATATCAGCGAGATGGATCTTCCTCAGTTGTCGTGCCATGGGATAATACTGTGGAAAATGTACTTCGAAGAGTTTGAGATTGTCGTCGTCATCCCAAAACATGTAGTCAAACGTCGGGTTCTTCTCTCGCCACGAGTGCATCCACGGCTCAAACTTGTCCGGAATGTAATCGATATTCTTCCACGACTGGTGAATCAACCGCGGGATCTTCTGGCTCGTCGACTGATTGTTGCTAGCGAACATCGAGATGGCTTTCCGTGGGATGTACTTGCGAAGAATGGCGCCATCATTGGTCCTATGCCACCGAAACGGCGAGCGTCTCAAATCCTTGAGCACTGCGACCCAAATAAGCGCGTAGGTGGCAGCGAAGCCTGCAATCGCTGCGAAATACCATCGCCAGCGCCTTGAATGCACAGGCGCTGCGTCCTTGGTCACGCCATCCGTCATGTCAAGTCGTCAACGAAGTTTGCACTGTACGATATGTTTGTGTCATTACTCAAAAACGAATTCAAAGCATTTGATTGGACAATAAAATCGATCCTGATATTTGATTGGCTGATATTTTTGGTGAAGTTGTCAATGCATCCATTTTTTAAAATGGATGTCGGAAGCCCGAGATTACAAATTCGCACGAACATGTTCATGTCAACGCACGATATTACTCCGGGGTTGAGCAAAAACTTTGTGAATGAGGTTTTCTTATGTGGTGACACGTTTGTCAAATGAGTTTATCGATTTGAAATACTTTTCGATAATCACAACGAATTTTGAAATGTTGCAATTTGTGACTGCAGCTTGCTCCAAACCCAAGCTCAAGCTGCATTTCTAGGCAATGACGCATGAATCATACGCTGGCAAAAGAGCTGACGATGAAGCGAATATGAGTAGCCCAACCAATGGTGCAATGACGATTACGATCTGGTCATGTAGATGGGCGTAGGAATAATGAACAATGTGAGCTCTTCCGGTTCTGTGGTTATAATTCTCCATCGGCATGCATGAATATTCATAAACATCTCACTCGGACTCCCTCAGCTTGTTTAATCCGTTCACTCGAGTAGCTCGAGCACTCCCTCAGCTTAACGAAGGCAATGTCGCACCCAGCGTGGCAAAGCTAAAGCTCACATCCTTCAAACTAGCATCATCGTCGATGCTTCGATTTTTCACCAGTCGTGACCAGTACTCTGCCCGTCTGGAAGCAGTCGTACAACAAAAAGGCCACTGGGCTCTTCAAAGCAACCACGCTAATGCCATCGACAAGCAATGAACTTCCACTTGCGACGAAACAGTCAACAATTTTGAATAAATTTTGAACAAATTATCAGTAAATTCACAAATTTAAAATATACATAATATATTTTGAATTTTAACAAATTTCGATGTAGTCCCTGTGGCCTAATGGATAAGGCGTCGCTCTCCGAAGGCGAAGACTGCGGGTTCGAGTCCCGCCAGGGACTTTTTTTTCCTATTTCCTCTGACCTTTTATATTTTATCATGAAATTACTCTGAAAATTTATACTTTAGTTGGCACCATTGAGATGTTGAAGCGCACCTTCCAGCACCGCCGTGTTGTGTCTCGATCGTCCAGCTCTCTAGAAGCTCAAGCTAGACAGTTTAGTACTACTCCAAGAGGCGCTGCTGGCGCTGCTGGTGGCAATGGCGGCTTAAAAATTTCGCGTCAAGCTGTGGCCAATGAAGCCGTTGAAGTGTTCAAGCTTCTATTTGGCGTACGTGATCCTCGCTTTTGATCTCTATTTGGCCGTGATATGGCTCTAGACTGTGACCGTACTACTTGGTGGAAGCATGGCGATGGGCTACGCTACGGAGAACTATAAGCGTATGCATCCACCGACGCCACCAGGTCAGTTGGTCGATATTGATATCGAAGGACACAAGTCGACAATCCATGCGCAAGTTCAGTCCGCGCTTGGCAGCGGTCCTCACGATGTCGTGGTCATTTTGGACGGTAGCTTGGGTGAAACATCGTTCGACTGGGAGAAAGTTGCGGCCAAGGTAATCTCGTCGACCACTGCGCACAAAGACATGCTCCATAGATCAGCGACGTCGCGACTGTGGTAGCAATCGATCGCCCTGGTCTAGCATTTTCCACACCTGGAGTCCTTCCCCGTTCAGCAGCTACGGTATCGCTCAAACTCCATTGAACTCTTTCTCACAATTTCTATAGATTGCCAAGGAGTACCGCGCAGTGCTGGACAAGTTGGAGATTTCAAAGCCAGTCATTCTCGTCGGTCATGGCACTGGTGGCTACAACATGCGGTGAACAAACACAGCTCTTTGGTTGTACTAAAGTCCTTCTTCGTAGGCAATTGGCATCCGACTTGTTGGATGATCCTACTGCGAATACCTGCCTTGGCCTTGTGCTCGTGGACGCAATGCACGGTAAACACAACAGACTTCTCGCCATCGGTATTAAATCATGTGGATAGAATCCGTCAAGCCGGCAATGGATGCCCTCTCGCCTGCAGTGCAAGAAGCACTAGCTTCGCGACAGAAGAATGCCAACACCTTGCTCAAGTACGACAGCAATGGCATGCAGATGTTACAATGTTTCGTAGGATGTCACACTTTGGGTTGATTCGTCTTGTACATGTTCTCCAGTCCAAGCGCAACGCTACGCGCTTTTCAACGACGGCATTGCCATACGTGGATTACTTTACTCCCACGCCAGTCCACCGTCGTGGTACAGCTCGTCAAGCTATCCACGATAGCATCTAATAGTATTACACAGGTGTCGTCAAAGAAAACGAAGCTATCGGCGACATTGAAGCGTCGTTGTTGGCATCGCCAACTCCGTCCTTGGGTATTCCGCTCGTTGTTTTGTCCCATGGCGACCGCACCATGTTCAAATCCATGCTCATGGAGCCTGGCATTGACGAAAGCATCATCGAGTACATGGAAGCTGAATGGAGCCGTGGCCAAACTGAGCTGCTCAAACTCAGCCCTCGTTCTGTCCAGCGAGTCATTCCACAAGTTGGACATGACATTCCCCATGAGAAGCCCGAGGAAGTTGCGGCAGCCATTCTCGCAGTCCTGAACGAAAGCCAAGGCCACAAGACGAGTGGACTCGCCTCGCTCAAGACACAAGAGTGTCCGATCAAGTAATTCCAACATGAAACGCATATTTCGTTTTGCAAGATTCTTTCATTCGACATGAAATATACATGAAGAAACACTTATGGTGCTGATAGCCATGCTTGGAGCGCTGCTCCATCGCGTTTGTAAATGACGCTCTTGGTGCGAATGGCTTCGAGAGTTTCATTGAGAGAACGTTCGTATCCTGGATTGCGGCGGGATTCCAGGAAAGTTTCGATGTCGTCGACATGGTCATGGAATTTTCGGAGGGAGAAAGTGAGAATGCGACCAAACAGGCGAGGCTCAGAGTATTTCGCATTGAGTGCATCCCAGTTCTCTTGAATGTAAGACCACGCAACTTTACCTCCAGAAGACGACGAAGCCACGCCGTTGAAGACGGAGCTGATATCTTGGCTGCGGACATTTTGAAGGCCCCATTCGATCGCGCGCTTCTTGAGCGCTTCCTGAGGGAATTGCCCCAAAGCATTGATGCATTCCAGTTTGATTTCAGCAGCATCGGCGCGGTCGTGGAGAGTGGTCAAGTATTGGAAAGCGTCCTCGGGTGCCTTTGTGTTTGCAATGTGGATGCGATAGATGACAGTGCGGAGGTCGGCTGCGAGAGGCTCCGTACGGCCCGCTGCTGCCAAGAAACGAGCTGAAGCTTCAGCAACAACGTCAGGATCCTTGGCAAGTCCAAGCACGGCAATGACTTGACTGCGCAATTCAGACGTCAGGTCATCGTCGCTAGAGAAAACACCAGTGACCACTACGACGAGAAATAAATTGTCTACCTTGGGCTCTTTGTCCACGTCAATTGCTTCATGATGGGAGCATACAGCTTTCGGAGATACTGCTGGAACTCTGGAAACCACGCTTCCTCGTCAAAAAGATCGGCATATTGGATCAAATTGGCCGACAATTCCTTCCACACCAAGTACTCCGTGTCGTGCGAGTAGGCTTGAGCAAAGTTCAAAAAACGCATGGCGACATTCTACGCCAAGATGGATCCCAAGAAGATTTGGCTTGTCTACACTTCCTTAGTTCATCCTTCTCTGGTGCGCGGTGGCTTGAAACAATTGATTGACAATCGTTTCTTTTACGAAGACATGACTGGACTGCTCGTTCCGAGTGGTGGCATTCTGGTTCCCATGTTGTTTCAAGTGTGGAGTGCAAACGTTGAGAATGACTCAATGCTTCAAGTGTGGCCTGAGAGACTGACAGAAGTGAAGGATCGATATCAATGTGAGTTTCTCGTCAAATCGGTGATCAAGCCAAAGTCTTGTGCGATGGGATTGCAGGCGTCTACTCGAAACCACTCGACCGGTCGATCCTTCCGTTTTCCTTTCAATCTGGAACTGAAGCAACTAGTTTTGCCAAAGCACGATGGCTGGCTCAAACGGCGTCGCATCCAAAGTCCAAATTGCCATGGATTCTGATCGATCCGCAAGTTTTCAACTGTGGTGGTGTGGATATGATATTGGTCAGAGACGAGTCCGTCGTTGGAGTTAGCGTGACGATTGCTGGGCCGTCGTCTGACATGACTGAGTTCTTTCAAGCGTGGAAGTCCATTGCACAGGAGAATAGCCTTACCATGGAAGGTGTCACGATTGTCCTCGACGACAGTTTTGCCCATAGAAAACGCAAGACGAGCATTCTTCCTTTGAAAGATGTATATCGCGAATTGTGGAGCTCCATCTTGGACTTGGCATGTTTCAAAAATTGGCCCAACACCAAGTCGAATCAACGTCGCTCTGTAAGAGTTGCTTCCAAATCCAAGAATCGTCGGTCGTGATAAACTGTCCAGGATAGATTGGCGTCTCTCTTAGTCGTAGCAGAGTGGATGAGTGATCAAAATCTTTTGACGAAACAGACTTCATGACGTAATGATATCGCATATCCTTCATACAGCACCAAATATTCTCAAACTGTCTTGCGCTGTTGTATGGGTGGTCCTATCGCTGTGTAGTTTAATGCAAAGTTTACAAAAGAAGATTGAGCAAAGTACCGTTCGTCAGAGTCCGCCATAACAAATCTCTCCTTGTAAACGGGGGGAAGGAGCACTTGAACATCTAGCTTAACTTGTAGGCTGCAAGTTCTATAAAATGTTGTTGACTTTTTTTGAAGTGATGTCGCAGAGAACAATGTGATGCCGTTCAGAAAGTGTTTGCGTCGGCGAGGATACATTGAGCTTAAGTCGCCATCAACACCTTTTTGCGTTTAAGTTGGATCATTTTTCGATTGATTTAAACGAATTTAAGGTCAATGACATTTCGATAAACACAACTGCACTTCTCACTTCTATCAACTGAATTTATAAAAAGTCCAGTTCATTTAAAAAAAGTCTACGCCATCCATGAAAAAGACAACATGAATGGCATTCAATCTGTCCATCAAGCTTCTCCACGCAATCAATCAAATTGTCTTGACCTCGACACTTGGTAATCGAAGACGGAGATGGCAACCACTCTCTCAGTTTTAAGCCGTTTGAGTGAACGCTGCCCCGATGAACTGCCAAGACGAGATGAGAATTGACCACCAAGAGATGAATGACGACTCACGCTCCGTCGGTAGCGAGCACATCAGCTATCAGTGGATATTCACTCATCAAATGGACAAGCAAGGAGCACCTCCAAGCATGATTGGAGCAGTCCAAAGGTGCAATGAACCTGCCTCATAGAAGTTTGATTTATTGAGACCCGAATACGTCTTTGTCGACATCGGCGACGCCAGTCTTGGGAACTTGATTCTTGACTTCCTTGGCTTGGTAGGGCGATTCAGGACGCCAGACGGCCTTTGGCGTCGGTTTCTAGCATGTCCATTCGCATTGCGCTCCAATCAAGTGAGTTATCCACGAGGTGACGTTTCAACATGTTTAAGTTGTGATATTGACTGCTTCCGAGTCGTATTTGGAGACTTTGATTTGCCCTCTCGTAACTCTTCCACGTTTCATTGTTAATAATTTTACGAGATGAATACAACAGTGAATCCATGTTAGATGTTTTTGCATGAAGTGCATTTGCAATTGTTGCACTTCTTTTCAGCTTTTTTGCAGCAGCAGTGTCTGTTTGTGCATCCTTTGGTGCATTTACACTTGAGGTCATTGCTCGACTCCGGTGGAGTTATGGCACTCCACAAGTCGTAATACACTTCCTTCAAGTGAACAAGCTTGACGTTCGCCTCGTTAACTGCAAGGCCTTCAGGACCTATAAATATGCCTTGAATTCGAAGTTGATGCTTGACTGCAATTGGCCTCCACACAGTGAAAAAACTGGCCATTGGAGAATGGGTGCTGGCAATCGTCACGTTGATTCCGATCATTGAATCGTTGGTGGCCAATATCATGTCCACACCGGGATAGTTGAAA